CCCCACAGTAAACACACACAACTGTGCAAAACACAAAGGTAAGCACATACAACCAACACAGTAAGTATGCCCTCTATATAAAAATAATACCTGCCCAACTATATAGTATAAAAATAAGGTGCATACCTTTAGGCTAGGATCACACTACTGCGGGTGGTTGCGGGAATTGCGCCTGTTCCCGCACCAGCTCTTTACAGACACATGGGGCTGCTAATCCTTCTTAATGCAATAATACAAATAAAGAAGCACTGAAGTTATACATACAAAGAGTTCACATGTGCAAAATAAAAATAAAATAAAAACATACCTTTCCACCAGTATCAATATGTCTAATAGTCTAGAACAGGATTGTCAAACTCAGTCTCACCACGGGCTGCATCAACATTATGGTTTCCCTCAAAGGGCCGGTTGTATCTGTAAGACTAGATGTCCAGAGCTCCCCCCCCCTTACATTAGATGTCAAGGGCCTTCCACCATCATAAATCAAGAGTCCCCCACCGACTCTTACATCACAGTGCACCCCCCCCCCCTTACTTTGTGCTGCTGTGGGGAAGAAGCTGGGGGCGGAGCTTGGAAGCAGAAAGTTCAGGGTCTGTAGGAGGACCAGGGGAGGGCTGGAGTCAGCTGCCGGAGACTGCTGGATGCTGGGACCAGGGGAGGAGGAGACGAGGGGGTGCTGCGGCTGCACAGATAGGCACAGGATATGTAGGAGCAGCTCTGTCCTCTGCTGCCAACTCCTGAAACGGGGATGGAGACAGAGACAAGCCTCTCCATAGCTGCACTGCAAGATCTGGAGGAGGAGTTCTGTCCTCTGTTGGGGGCAGAGATGAGGGGGTGCTTCAGCTGCAGTAAAGGGCCGTATCTGGCCCGCGGGCCTTGTGTTTGACATATGGGGTCTAGCATCTGAAGGAGATCCTCTTCTAGATTGAATGATGTGCAATCAACAGAAGGCAAGTATTCCAAGTTGTAGCAGAAGTTGGCATCATCAAGGTTACATTGAGATGAAGCAGGACACCCCTTTTCATCAGGGGCATCACAAGCTCTACAGATAGAGTATTGTCGAGACTTTAGGGACTTGATGGAGCAGTTAGCATTAGCACTTTACTACTTTTATTTATTATTCATATCCTGTCCCATTCAAGCTGCTTACATTTACTTTCTTATATGTATTGACCCAGGTCATACTAGCACAGGAGTCTTAAAGAATCTGAAGATGCTGGACTGTTAGGCTTATTGCTACTGATGGTTTGTCAATTTTAACTTTTTATTTCACACATGCGCATTTGGAATTCTAGTGCATTGTATGTATTATTGTTTTAATAAAGGTGTTTACATTTTTATATACTATTTGGTGGTGGAGGAATTTTTATATAGAGGGAATTTTTACTGTTTTTGGTTGCTTATTGTGTTGTGACTGAGCTATAGCAGAATATCTTTTAGCTTGGAAGGTTTAATTGACCTCTCAGTTATTACAGGAGTGGATATTGAATAATTTGCATAAAATATGCAAAAAACAACATTGCATACAAAAATGCTGATTAGGGACAAGGCTACTTGTGCAATTAATAATCGGTGGTCAGTATAACTGTGGAAGCTTGTGATTAGTACTTCAAAACAACTAATACCCACAATTTTGTTCATACGTTCATGTAAATTGGCCTTTTAAAAACCAATTCAAGAAAAAAAATGACCTTTGCGCTGGATTCCCCTACACACATTAAGAGTTAACTGTAAATTAAGTTTAGGGATAAAGAGTAATCCTTGCTCCTGTAGGCTCTCTCTGTACATGTGATCACTCTCTAGCTCTCCTCTCTGAGGCGCTTCTGGCCAGAGTCGCACGCTTGCCACAGTAGCCCTGCATTGTACATGATAATGCACAGGATCTGGAACTACCCACAGCTTAGAGTATGGGAGAGAAGTAAACAGTGCTGGAGCCTGCCAGAGCAGGGCGTAAGGTCATGCTGGCCATACTCTTAACTGAAAAATCTGTAATTTGGACAGTTTGTTCGTTTTTCGTCTAGTTAATGGGTACAAGTAGAAAATTAGTTTGTGAGCCAAAAAATCAAAGGAAAGGTTTGGAAAACTTCTGCTGAACAGATGACAAAATTGAAAGGTTAATGTGTTTCTCGCCCATTAAAAATCAAACTGTTGGTACTGTGCATATGTGACAAAATTAAGAAAAATGTATTAATTTATGTCTATTAAATGATTTATTGTTCGAAAATTGGTTATTATATGATTATTTTTGCATTCAAATGATTTTTCAACTAGTGTATGGCTAGCGTAAGTATTCCATCCTTTTCAGATTTTCCTAGACCACAGGTGTCAAACTGGCGGCCCTCCAGCTGTTGCGAAACTACAAGTCCCATGAGTCATTGCATGATTGACAGTTACAAACATGACTCCCAAAGGCAGAGGCATGATGGGACTTGTAGTTTCGCAACAGCTAGAGGGCCGCCAGTTTGACACCCCTGTTCTAGACCTAAAGAGCATTTAAGCCCTGCAATATAAGTGGTTTCCAGTGCAGTATTTTTTTCCCATATTTGGGCTTTAAAAAAAGGTAGGGTTCTATTGTTTTAAAAAGTAACTTGTATCAAAAGTCCTTTTTATAGGAAATACTTCAGACACTCATTTGATGCATTTCAGGCCTTATTCAAAGTATGACCTATCTACAGGTTAAAATCGTCAATAGACCTTTAAAGTTTGTTACATGGATTCCCAATTAAAGCTGTCTCAGAGGACCTTTAATACAATGTGCTGACATCTTTTATATTATAACTGTATAGACTTATGCTGAATTTTCTTAGAAAATACTAGTTGCTGAGCTATCCTTGGTTTTAGTACCACTGACCTGGGACATCCATGCTGTAAGTGTAACCAGGATGAAGTCCGAACTATTAAACTGCATGTTTGTTTTTTGGTCTGTGACTCAAAATTATGGAATTCATTGGTTCAGCATGACAGCCAAGCAGCTATAATTTTACGATGGAGATAGTGTCAGGAATGGCACCTGATTTGGACAACTTTAGCAAAAAACGTGTGTGACACGTGCAGATCACTTATATTCGGGAGCCATATAAACCGTTTCTTTTATCTCGAGCCTCCCCCTTCCCCAAAACACACAGAAACCACATATGCAATACAGCCACCCACCCCTCTTCACACACGCTTGTGTGTAGACATAGAGGGGTTGATTTACTAAAACTGGAGAGTGCAAAATCTGGTGCACCTGTGCATGTTAGCCAGTCAGCTTCTCACTTCAGCTTGTTCACTTAAGCTTTGAAAAAAAAAAATACTGGAAGTTGATTGGTTTCTATGCAGCGATGCACCAGATTTTTCACTCTCCGGTTTTAGTAAATCAACCCCAGAGTAACCATAATAAAAGTAATAGAGTAATTTTAATGAGGAAATACAAATAATTATAGATAAAATTTAATATCAGTGCGGCTTGGATTGAAAAATAATATTTTGGATGGGTAAATAATCTTACAGTGTGCTTTTAACAATTCTATGGACTAGCTCATGAGCTTCTTTATATGCTAAAAAAAAAAAAAAAACAGGATTTTTGTTCTTATCTGTATAATACCTTACTTTGAATCCATTGAGGGGCACAGGAACTAATTCAGCAACCACTCAGTATATAGCATGATCATCGGTTGAACTGGGCACTAGTCAGCAAAATTGTAAGCCTGTCCCTATATCAGACAACTCTAACCGTATTCAGCATGCATCAGTTAGTAGCAAGCCATATGGAATAATAGGTATAAACACATGAAGAGAAGGAGTTGTGTCCTTCAATAAACTTAAAAAATTGGTTTTGCAGGTAAGTTCAGAAATTACATTGTCTCTATTGTCCAATGAAGGACATTGGAACAAATCGAGCATCCACTAGGTCGTCCAGAAGACAGCCAAGCCTATCAGCAGACCTGGCATAGACCTAAGAGGCAAACTGCTCAGGGGGTTCTCACTGCCCTAATGGAGTGAGCCTTACCCTAAAAAAGGGGAAATCATATCCCATAAAGTGTATGCTTGAATAAAACAGACAAGCAAATGCAGAACAGGAGGCCCGATGACCCCACCGGGATCCTGGAAACAGGAAATGATTCCCTAAAAAAACCATTCAGGCATTCAGGAAAAAATGAAATGCCTTGACAATATCCAGACAACCTGTGCCACATAGGGCCAGAACACAAATATAACAGCACAATTCCCTTATTGAGATAACAAAGCTGAGAAAAAAAAAAAAGGGTTTCCTTGCAGGACAATGTAGTTAGATGTGAAACATTCTTGGCCAAAATGATTACCACAAAAAAGCCACCTTTTACGATGAGAACATCTGGTTACTCAGAACATATTCAGTCCTGTTTGATAGGGGGCTGCTGAGAAATGGCAAGTACCAAGTTCAGACCCTGTGGCTGCAGAGGGACCCTTCTCTGGGATTAAAGAGCTGTCGACAGAGTCCATCGGCCATTTGTTCTCATTTTGAATATACAGTGCAGAGAATGCCAGAGCATGAACTTTATCTCCCCTATCACTGTAGAACTCTTCAACCATGCACCCCATTCCCCAATGGTATAATTAAGCCACCATGGCCTTTTTCAGTTGGACCCAATCTAGGTGACCAGCATGAAAGTTTGGACAGCGCAGACACCAAGAAACTGAGACATGCTAGATATAGAAGGGGTTATTTAATCTATAGGAGCTGGCTTACAGTTTTGTTTCTTAGTGTCAATCTTCCTTGAAGGTGGTGCTATATACCCAGTTTTTACTGAATCTCAGTACCTTTTGTCCCTCAGTGGATGATATCGAAAAGCCTAGTCACAAATAATGTGTTAGCCTACATACAGTGTAAAATAGCATTCATTTTCTAATACTCAAACAAAAGGTTGTAGTTGTATTTTTTTCTTCGATTTTTTTTTTCCTGTTTGCTCTATGTACCTTTTTCACACCTGTTGTACATGTTATTGGCTGATTTCTATTTCATTTATTTTATTTTATAGGTCAGCAACATTTTGTTTTTTGTTTTACCACCCATATGCATGTGCCTGTTCCGTCAGTACGCCACCTGCTTCAACAGCGGCATATATTTAATATGGACCCTACTTGTTGTGGTTGGTAAGTGTGACAGTAGGTGTGTTTTACGTAAGATGTGTAAGGAAAGAATTCCTACTGGCTTCCTGTACTGCATGTTTCTGCAAAGCACACTGCTAATGACATCCTCATGCTTTGCTTGAATTAGGCTAATACAGCTTGCTGACGCCGTCATATTTACATCCTGGTTTTCAGAAAACAGCATTCCAGCTAAACATTTTTTCACTTTGTTAAAGCTGAGGTTCCGAGTATTGTCTTACATATTTACTAGTCTTCCCAAAGTAAATTAAAAAAAGCTGATCAGGCAGATAATACAGTATGCTTTGTATTTTTATTTCATGTATTGTCCGCACCCCTTCCTTTTAACAAATAAGATAGATAAGGGATGATAAGATAGATATGTTAGAGAAAGAACATTGGGTGCCTTTTAAAATGATTTCATGTACGAATACATTTTACAGGAACATATATACTCAGTATAGTACTTTTGTAAGGATTAGCAAATGTGCAAGTATCTATATATATATATATATATATATATATATATATATATATATATATATATATATATATATATATATATATACACACACATATGTATGTGTGTCTGTATGTATATATATATATGTATGTATATGTGTGTGTGCAGGTATGTGAATGTGTGACACTTTAACTATAATCTAGAAGTACATATAGGGGTTGATTTGCTAAAACTGGAGAATGCAAAAACTGGTGTAGCTGTACGTGCAAGCTGGTTCAATTAAGCTTTGACAAAAAAAAAAAACCTGAAAGTTGATTGGCTACCACATACAACTCTCCAGTTTTAGTAAATCAACCCCATAGTGTGTGTATGTAGGTATGTATATATGTGTGTGTATATATGTATATGTGTTTTTATTATATATATATATATATATATATATATATATATATATATATATATATAAACATAACATACAGCCTTTTTAATTGTCAATTACAATGTGTGCAATACAGAAAAGCCCCTGCCAGTGCCAGAAACACAAAGCTTGGGCATCTTGCAGATAGTGAATTTGGCAGCTATTGCAGTGCTGCTATCAGCAGCTTAGGTGGAAAATGAGACTTTGGCAAATACACCTCCTCATATGACTGTACACTGCATGATTGGCTTGTAATGCTGGCTGTCACTCTTTCAGCCTTTTATTTTGGCTGTGCATCAGATTACTAGCTGTATTTTAAAATACTTTTAACAAAAATAAAAAAAATGAAAAGTACAGAATGGTGACCATTGGTTTTAGCATGTAAGTCATTAGTGAGTTTTAGGGGAGCACTTTAAATGCAGTGCTGTGGGCAAAATCCAGACTGAAAGTTGTCAAGAAGAATATTATCAGTGAGGTCATAGCTCAGGTAGTTGTGGACTAGGAGTTTGAAGATAAATGGGACTAAGGAGATGGATCTTGGGTTGCTAAAGTGTATGTAAACCCTCACCTTGTAAAACAACCCATTTAGTTTAAAATAGAAATGAAAGGCAAAACATTTGTGTATAGATTAAAAAAACAAATTCTAAACATGTCTTACCCTTTGTTTTCAGCTGCATAAGAGCTAGGGAAGGAGAAACAGCAGCATACTGATCTTCCAAGTGAAAGGCTGTGTAGGGGTAGGGAGTGTCTACATAAGTCTGATCATTGGAGAAAAGCAGGCTGAGTTCCCAGCACAACCAGAAAACTGACCACAGTGTTTTCTCCTGCCTAGTGTGATCATTCTTTAATAGGAAAAGCAGAGGGACTTGCAGGAACACCAGGAGTTCCACACAAATGAAGCAATACAAAGAGAACAGGATACTTTTTCATACAAGCACATAGTACAAAAAGCAAATATCAGGAATCTGAAACGTTGGGTTTGGTGGGGTCTAGCAGTGTGACCAGTGCAGTTTTCGGACAGTTGGGGAAAACACCAGCAGAGAGAGAGTTTGGTGAGAGTTAGAGACTGTAGGATAGAGCAGGTGGGTGTCTGTAATAGTTGTGAAGGAACTGGCATTCAGGTGGCAGCTGGTTAGGTGGGCATTAGAAAAAGGTTTAGCAGCCTGCTCTATGGTAGCAAGGTTAAAAGAGGTAAGTAGTGAGTTGTAGGTGGGCTGGGAATGTTGAGTGGGGTAGGATTTCTGTATAGTGGAGATCTCATAACAAATTACATCAATCTAGTTTTTTAAAGTGATTGGCAATCCCCTGGGCAGTAAGGGAGTTAGTGGGTGGAGGCAGTGAAAGATGAAGTAGAGAGTTAAAGGTAGAAAAGAGTTGATCAGGACTGCATGAGAGGGTGTTACTGAGAGTTATACAATTGGTCTCATTATCCCTCTGCTTATAATGAGACTTGTCCCTGCCTGTGCCAATACTATATCTTCCACCAGCAAGCCGATGAGATCATATGTCTACAGACCAATCTAGGGAATCTAGCTGTCAGCCTGGTGGAGATCCCTCACAACGTGATTTGCCTTCATTTCCTGTAAAAATGGAGCCTGTGAGACTTGTGTCAGATGGTGTGGGGGACAATTCCTGCTCCGCAGACCTACCCTCACCCAAAGCTGCAGCTTTGGCCTGTTGTGCTGTCTGACATAGGCGCCATGTTGATCTATGGTGAGACTCTCAAAGAACTGTTTAATTGTCGGGTCCTGATGTTTCCTATTGTACCCTAGGACTATTTCCTATGGGCATGAGCAGTGCTGGTTGGTTTAGGAGCTGTAATTAGGTCTGCTAGTGCTGGATAACACGGAGCTCCACAGGTTTACGTCTTCACAACACCATTGTCAGACCACATGTGTTATACTGTATATGCTCGGAGTTCAGCTGTTTATTGGGTAGGTCACCATATACTACTTAGTTTTCAAAGAATCTTATCACTCTGCTATTAGGTAAACTAGCAAAGTATGTATTTGAAAAATTAAGACAGCCATAGATGGAGCGATTTTCTTTCCTGCAACCATGGGTCAGTGTTGATGGGGGGGGGGGGGATCCCTCCCACTGAGCCATTGTGTGAGCCGGCCTCACCAGGAGAACACAGTGATTACTAGTAGCAGCTGTGATAGATCAATCAACATTGGTACGTTCAGCCTGCCCATACATGGTTTGAATCTTGGCCGGTCCTTGCGGAACCTGCCAAAGTTCAAACCATCTATGGCCGGCTTAAGAATCAGTCACTGCCAAAGCCCAAGTAGTTTGATTGCACTTCAGAAGCTGTAGGTAGCGTTTTGTTTGCAGTCCTGATATATTGATAGTCTCTTGCTGGAATAGTGTTAATGCTGAATAAATACCATTATCTAAAATGACATGATTTTTTTTTCTATTTGGCCAGGAATTGGGTCAGTGTATTTTCATGCAACACTGAGTTTCCTGGGGCAGATTTTGGATGAATTGGCTATTCTCTGGGTGTTAATGTCTGCATTAGCAATGTGGTTTCCAAAAAGGCACTTGCCAAGAATGTTCCGACATGACAGGTAAGAAAAATGCAAGTTTATGTAACAAAAATATCACCTAAATTCTGTTTAAAGACCTCTGTCTAGTAGTAGTAGATTTCACATAAATGTGTGCAATTCAAGAGCTTTCAGGAACTGACAGTATTTGAAATTAGAGTGTGTATAGCCCAAACTTTTTTTCAATCTTAGATAAAGTGCAGATAGGTTAAACCCCCCCTTGTTAGTTTTTTTCTTACTGTCTGTTACCTATTGGACAGATTTCTCTTCTCTTTCTGTCCTAGAGTAACAACAGGAAAGAATAGGAAATCTCGTTACCTACCTAGTTTCTACCCACCAAATGTTGAAATGTTGCACTGTTTGGTGGGGAGTAAATGGCCTGTTACTGTATTTCTGCAGTGTTATGCTGGTGATATCTTGCATGTTAGACTGTTTTACTGTTCGTGTCTTCCATCATATTTACTGAAAAAGCCACCATTGCTTTGGTCTATGGCTGTGTACTGAATCTTATGGATATATGTTTTCTCAACAAAATTTCTTAACAAAATTTTCAATGTACTGTGGTTCTCTGCAATCACCTGTCATCCCACTGCCAATTTCCCAACATATTGCTGGTCTCCGGTATCATTTAAGTAGTGTATTTGAAATCTTTATAATTTTGTTTAAATTGATATTTCCTTAGTAAGCCATACTGCTTAGGTTTGTGCTAACGTATACTGAATATAACCAAAAATTTCAGGTCAATTCAGCTGTCAGCCTGTTTTGTTGCAGGTGGAGATTTAAAGCAGTAGTTGGAATTCTATCTGGAATTACAACAGTCTTGGCATTTATCAAGCCTGCAATCAACAATATTTCTCTAATGACACTTGGAATACCCTGTACAATCTTACTCATCACAGAGCTTAAGAGGTACGTGAATGTGAGACCTTAACTATAATATAGAAGTACATATAGGTGTTGATGTACTAAAACTGGAGAATGCAAACACTGGTGCAGCTGTACATGGTAGCTGGTTCAATTAAGCTTTGACAAAAAGAAAAACCTGAAAGTTGATTGGCTGCCATGTACAGCTGCACCAGTGTTTGCATTCTCCAGTTTTAGTACATCAACACCAGAGAGTGTGTGTGTGTGTGTGTATAATGAATGATTAAAAAAAAAAATATATATATATATATATATATATATAAAACATAAAACAGCTGTATGCAGACTGAAATAAAAGGCTGAAGTATTAGAGTCATGATATTATTCAAGGTGCAGTAACACATATTAACCAGTCAGATTTCAGATTACGGTATTAGTAGCGGTGCTAGGTGAATGGTGACTAAATATTATGGTCTACTTATCTTTTGCCTTTCTGAATAAGTCTCATGGGTTTATTTAAAGGGCTGGTTTAGTGGCTTAAGAAGCATGTGAAAAATGATAATAAACACAATATAGAAGATGCAGTGTTCAACAAATTCTCAGTGTGCCATTTTCCTCTCTGAAGAACCCTGTGAATACTGATAAATGATGTGGTTTCAGCACTGTCACTGTAAGCTGTCACGTGAGCTAGAGTTTCCTGGAAAGTGACATACAACAAAATCCTATCTGTCTCTTCATTCTGACCATCAAACAGCTGAGCATTAGATTGTTGTGGTGCATGTATATTTGTCAGAATCCTCTAGTCATCTACTAATACTTAGGGTCTTTAACAGTTTTTTACTCCAAGGCGGAAAAGAGCATATACTGAGTATATTCCGATTTATTAAAAAAAAAATACAATCATATAAAATAGTCATGTTGTCAAAAGCATCCAACCTTTCCCAAATTAATGACAGGCACATAATGAATGTTATGGTCAAAACAACTGTGTTTTTCTTAGTTCGTGCTATGGGACTAAACAAGAAAAAATGTTATTTATATTTCTGTATTACATCATGTATTCTTTATCAGTTGTAAATACTTCAATCTGTGCAGTGGTGTAATCAAGGGAAAGTTATTGTTTTTCAGCCCTACAGGATAGTTAGCTTATTAATACATGTTCTGATTGCATACTAGGGCTTAATACACATTTGTGTTCCCTAGTATTTACAAAGCAGATATTTTTTATTTGAACCAGTTTGAGACTGGATACTGGGTAAAGGATACACACATGGTAGGACCAATGAAGGGAAATATGAGTGCTTAATATGCTGAGACGTATGTAAGAAAAGTTACATAGTGTAAATAAATTTTAAAAAACTTGCATAAATCAAAAACCTGCATACACAGTATAGAACCCTACACCCACAGAGGACACAGAGGCAAAAAAACTTATAAAGCATTGTCCAGTTTGTGCCAAACCTCCTTCATGATCTCCTTTGGCAATCATATATTCCTGGAGCAATGATCTCTGGTGTATATAACTATAAATATTAATAGCCAGTTATAATCTGTACATTTAGAAATACATCCAGCTTGTTTTAAAATATTCATCTGAACTGGCTAGAAATTGCTCCTAAACTGGCCTATTCCACATTTTCACAGGTTACTGTGAAGACCTCTCTATGTGCAGAGGATAAAGTGGTAATAAACCCAAAGACAAATATTTATTATGATGCAGCATACCAATTATTAGCTGTTATGACTGCATTAGTTTTCTTTTTTAGGGTTTCTTTCCTTTATTTTCATCTGGTGATTCAGCCAGCAAGTGGGTTGATTTTCAAAAGAACAAGCTCTCCTGCAAATGTAGAGTGTTTTAAGACAAACCATTTAATACTGACAGGGGTGCTGCTTACAATGATCAGCTTTTATTTTTTCATGTAAAACCTGTATCCCAAAAGAAAAAACTGTTGCTGTTAACTGCAGTATGACCTGGAGTTCAGCTTCAATTTGTTATTGTATCTAAATCTGCTAGTTCATCTAATACTGTCCATCTAAGTGGCAGTTAGAGGGTAGAGCCAAACCATTTTTCACTGACAGGGATGCTTAAATCGTCAGCTTTCATTTAATTTATGTAAATTTGACCATAGATGGATCGTTTTTCACCCGGCTAGCTAAATAAAAAAAAAACTAACCCCCAGCACATGATTGAATAGAAAATTTTCTATTGTTCCCATTCGTGAGACATTGATCATTAGATCGACTTCTCATGAACAGGAATAGCCATAACTGGAACGAAATTCATCTGGTCCCTGTTGAACCAGCGTAAAAGCCCTATACCAAAAGTAAAAAAAAAAACTGTTGCTGTAACTGCTTATAAAGTGTTAGCTGGAGTTCAGCTTCAGTTTAGTAAAGTCTATTTGTTTGCTAGTCTAACACTACCCTCTCCCCAGAATGACAATGCTGCTGTCCAAAGGTGTCTGCTTTACTACTTCATCTAGAATGCAGACACCCTAAGAGATGAAGTGTTACTGGCTAGGGAAAACAGAGGGAAATAAAGCCTGAATAAAGAAAACTAATGCAGCCAACACATCTATGGATTCATAGCTGCATTACAGTACATTGTTTGGTTTTAGGTTTAATACTGCTTTAACTTACACATTATCCATGTGTGGGGAACTGTGTCAAAGCTTTTGGCAAAGTCCATGTATACTACATCCACAGTCACTCTGTTATCTAGGTTTTTGCTTACTTCATCATAAAAAGGAGGTCGATTTTGTTTGACAACTCAGCTTTTCATGAATCCATACTGACTATCTCTTTATAATATTGCTTTCTATCAAAATCTATGTAGTCTTTTATCAAACTTTCAAATATCTTTCCAATCTACAGGTCTATAATTACTTAGTAAAGACTTTAATCCCATTTTAAATATAGGCACCACATTGGTCTTGTGCCAGTGTATTGACAATACCCCGGGAGCAAACCCACACAAATATAAGAGAAGATTTCCTACCTCCACGCAGATACTGGCCCAAACCAGGGTCATAGTGAGAAACACTTAGTGCCATTCTTCCTTTTTATATGTTTTTGTGTAGAATTCTTGTGTGTATGTTCTTATCATCTAAACATTTCTGTCTGCATAGTTCAGCATATTGACAAATAATGTATTTCAAAATGTATTTACCAACTGCTTGATTTTTTTAGGTGTGACAACATGCGGGTTTATAAGTTGGGTCTGATGTCAGGCTTTTGGTGGACCTTAGCATTAGTCTGCTGGATCAGCGACAAAGCATTCTGTGAAATATGGTCTCATTTCAACTTTCCTTACCTCCACTGTGTATGGTAAGTATTAAAAGCAAAAGAGTTATTGAAGATTGTATATGGCACGTACCCCAATGAATAGGGTTTATATATCTGGCAAGTCAAACTCCTGTTTCATGGAGCCCATTCCTTTTGTGAGGCCATCAGTGTTAAAGGATACAAAAATGGATGTGTTCTTAGATGTCTAGTTGTTAAGTTAACCACTAGCCTACAGGGCACTTATACCCCCTTCCTGCCCAGGCCAATTTCCAGCTTTCAGCGCTGTCGCACTTTGAATGGCAATTGCGCGGTCATGCAACACTGTACCCATATGACATTTTTATAATTTTTTGTGACAGAGCTTTATTTTGGTGGTATTTAATCACCTCTGGGTTTTTTATTTTTTTCTTAAACCAAAAACCACTAAAAACTGTGAAAAAAAAACATTTTTCTTAGTTTTTGTTATAAAATTTTGTAAATAAGTGATTTTTCTCCTTCACTGATGTGCGCTAATGAGGCTGCAGTGATAGGCTGCACTGATGGACACTGATAGGTGGCACTGATGGGCATTGACAGGCATCACTGATGGGCACTGTTAGGCGGCACTGATTGGCATTGATAGGTGGCACTGATAGGTGACACTGAAAGGCAGCTCAGATGGGCACTGATATGTGGCATTGATGTGGCACTGATGGGCACTGGCACGAGGCACTGATGATCACTGACACAAGGCATTGATGGACACTGACAGATGGCACTGCTGGGGCTACACTGATCATCAGGGCACACTGATCATCAGTGCCCTGATGATCAGTGTACATGTCCCCTCCGCGGAAAGCCGATTACTGGCTCTCCTCTCCTCACAAGCTGTCAGCGTAACAGCTCGTGAGGAGAGACATGCCGATAACTGGCATTTCCATGTTTACATGTGATCACCTGTGATTGGACACAGCTGATCACATGACCGAGCCGACATCTTCAGCTCTTTTCGTGATCGGTGATCCGCTGTGTCTGAGGGACACAGCGCACCACCGATCGCCGTGCTGCAAGTAGGAATTTGTGCTATAATGTTCAGTTATGATGTGCCATAATCTTTCTTTTCTGGAATTAAGTAGGTGCCACCCTCAGTAGAGATAATACTCCCACAGTAGACAATTAGGCCTTTCAATTCAGTCTACTTTTCATCCTGAGCTTGACATGTCTGGTCCATTTGGATTCATCAACATAAATTATTATTTCTAAGCATTATGAATATCTGTGGCTAAACCCATTAAAGCAAACTGGAAACCTTTCACATGGTTTATACAGTAATAATTAAGTACCTGACCACTACATGAGGCACTGAGCCTAGCAAATGCACATCTGGGCTACTAAAATAAGGTGTATGTCTTGCCCAAAAAAACCCATTAACACAGTACTTGTCTGAATTGCAAGAATACCAGCTGATCCTGCCATATGTCCAGGGAGCACCTAACTTCCTGTAGTGAACTAAAAATGTGGCCTTTCCTGCACAGAAGTCCCAAGCAGTGTTGTCAGCCCTGCCTTAGTTCTCTGCTGCTGGACTGTAGAACACCCCCTTATGTTATGGCAATAATTTGATAACACACTGCAAAGAAACCTGCTCTTGTGACTGGATATTCGTTTTATCAGTACAGAACTGGCAGGCTAATATAAGTTTTTCTATGATTTCTCTGGCTTCCCTTAATACCACTTGTAATGTGTTACCAAAGTACTAATGAAATCTCTACTGAGAAACAGAGATTGTCTTGTGGATTTCCTCCTGAAAATGGAGCGTAAATCCTATTTGGGTCACTGGCCTGGACAAAGCAGAAAACGAATCACAGAAAAGTGAGGGCTTCTTCTTTGCATAGCTGTTTTGGGTCAGTGACTCAGAAAGCATTGAGGTCATTGGATTACCATAACAGCCAGGAAGCCAGCATTTTGGCTAGAAGAGTTCAGCAGCAGAAGCCTATTTTTTATTGTACATGTTCTAAGTTTAAGTAGAACTCCAGAAAAAAACCTCACTGCGGTCCCTTTGCTTTTAATTTATTTATATGGATAGAAATATTGGTTGAAATCCCTATATTATCTTCTGACAGAGTAGGATTGGAAGGTTATACACTGTGAGCTGAGAGGGAGAGATGAGCTGGGTGGCATTCTATTTTCTAATGAGTCGCTGTCACAGGATCTTGTAAAAGCAAAAAGTGCCATCCCCATCCTTGCTATGTATTATGATGGGGGTGATAAAATCACAAGACTGGCTGAACCTATTCATATCATTTCAGCAAGTAAATTAGCATGCATTTTATTTGTGTATTTACTGTTTAGAACTTCAGTAAGCACTCCTGCTCTATAAATTGTCCACTAAAGGGCAGCTTCAGAAAAAACTAGAACACGTTTTGTGAAAAACACAATTTATTATTAAGGAAATAAAAAGTGCAAAGACTGAGTGCTACTTATGGTGTCCTATGGGGATATTTTCTCCCACTTCCTCTCTGAGACAAAACAAGAAATAAAAGGATATGGCTCCTAAATGAGGGCAATCCCCCCCATAAACAGCTGTCACCAGGACAGGTGTCCATTTGAAAGATTTCCCCTCTGTGCCTTTTTCGGTGATTACTTCGGATTTTCCATCTCAATATGGAGTTATTTACTAAAACTGGAGAGTGGTGCAGCTCTGCAAAGAAAAGATTCAGCTTCCTAGTTTTATTGTCCAAGCTTAACCCCTCCCGGCCCTTTTAAGGGGTTTTTGATGCTGGGAGGCAGGGCGGGGTTTAGGGTCATGTGACTGCCGTGGTTGGCTGTCACAGCAGTCACATAATCGGGAAGGTCCCGATCGCAAGGAGAGATCAGGACCTTTACGTGGGACGCTGATACATGTGCTGGGAGCACCCTGGCACACGCTCTCAGCACATGTTTGTTTACAAATGGGTACGCAAATATGTGCCGCTCAGCATCAAGGCCTAGCCACTGAGAGGCCACATATTTGCGTACACTCTGTATGAAGAGATTAACATGTTACTAAACCCACAGCAATAAAATCAATCTGTATATGCTTGTTATACTCCCTGTGGAACCTAAGGCGTTAATCCTCCACATTGTGCAAAAAAGTCTGTTTGATCCTGTGTTGTCTGATCCTCCCCTTCTTCCAAGGTCTCCAATCCATATGCTGATAGTACAGAGCCCTAGGAGGCACTTTGCTCAGTTTGTTGTGTATTGTTAGAGAGTTTTTTGGAGGGATAGTGTATGTGATCAGCACAGAGACAATCATAACTGTCCAGACAGAGGGTCAGGGGTCATGCAGTCTCATAAGTCAGTCAGAGGAGAATGAAAACTGCTCCTTTGAGCTTTCACCAGTGCTCAACTGGACACTGATAGAAGTCACAAGACTGCTCTAACTGATGATGAGAAAAGGTATTTAGCAGTTTATATTTACTAAAATGATTGCATTTCTGTGTACTGTGGGAAACCAGATATAGTGAATGTAGAGTCCTGGGTTAAGTAACACTTTAACTGAACAAGCTGACATTAGAAGCTGATTGGTTACCATGCACAGCTGCACCAGATTCTGAGATACCAGTTTGAGTAGATCTGCCCCTTTGTGTCACTATTCACAAGCCAAATGGGGAGAGCAAATCTCCCCAGTGGGGAGCAACACAATCAGTAAAACACCGACTGGGTATAGCTCTTTCCCACTCTATTCAAAACTAAAGAATAAAATAATACTGAGCACTAGATAGATTTATCAAACCAAACATTGATGGGCTCCAGCAGTTACTGCATTTTGCAATGAATGTTACAGTACAATATTAAAAGAGCCACTAAGGGGTTGCACTTTACCATACCTTTTAAGTTACTTTGATTTTTAAAATGTGAGCTTTTCTCTGTTGCAAGAGTCAATCAAAACTGCAGCATTCTAGTTCTGCCATGGTGAAGGACAACATAATGTATGAGCACAATGGTAGCCTTTTAACCACGAGCCTACAGGGCACTTATACCCCCTTCCTGCCAAGGCCAATTTCCAGCTTTCAGCGCTGCCACACTTTGAATGACAATTGCGCGGTCATGCAACACTGTACCCATATGAAATTTTTAGCATTTTTTTGATACAGATAGAGCTTTCTTTTGGTGGTATTTAATCACCTCTGGGATTTTTATTTTTTCTTAAACAAACCAAAAACCACTGAAAATTTAAAAAAAAAAAAAAATTTTTCTTAGTTTTTGTTATACAGTTTTGTAAATAAGTGATTTTTCTCCTTCACTGATGTGCGCTAATGAGGCTGCAGTGATGGGCACTGATAGGCTGCACTGATGGATACTGATAGGTGGCACTGATGGGCACTGATAAGGAGGCACTGGTAGGTTGCACTGATGGGCATTGACAGGCATCACTGATGGGCACTGAAAGGCAGCACTGATACATGCCACTGATATATGGCACTGACAGGCGGCACGGACTGGCACTGACAGGTGGCACGGACTGGCACTGACAGGCGGCACGGACTGGCACTGACAGGTGGCACGGACTGGCACTGACAGGTGGCACGGACTGGCACTGACAGGCGGCACGGACTGGCACTGACAGGCGGCACGGACTGGCACTGACGGTGACATTGAAAGGCAGCTCAGATGGGCACTGATATGTGGCATTGATGTGCACTGGTATGCACTGGCATGTGGCACTGATGGGCACTGGCATGTGGCACTGATGAGCACTGACTGCTGGCACTGATGAGCACTGACTGCTGGCACTGATGAGCACTGACTGCTGGCACTGATGAGCACTGACTGCTGGCACTGATGAGCACTGACTGCTGGCACTGATGGACACTGACAGGTGGCCCTTCTGGAGCCACACTGATCATCAGGGCACACTGATCATCAGTGCCCTGATGATCAGTGTACATGTTCCCTCCGCGGAAAGCCGATTACCGGCTCTCCTCTCGAGCTGTCAGCGTGACAGCTCGAGAGGAGAGAAATGCCGATAGCCGGCATTTCCGTGTTTACATGAGATCAGCTGTGATTGGACACAGCTGATCACATGACCGAGCCGACATCTTCGGCTCTTTTCGTGATCTGCTGTGTCAGAGGGACACAGCGCACCGGCGATCGCCACGCTGCACGCTCCCTGAGCTGCGCATGAGCGGTGAGAACGAGAGAACCACCTTGCGCCCGTCATTGTACTATAGGGCGAGCGGAAGGTGGTTAAAGTGATACTTCCAACATACATTGGGCGAGATTTAGTAAAACTGGTGCACCCACAATCTGGTGCAGCTGCGCATGGTAGCCATTCAGCTCCTAACTTCAGCTTGTTCAATTAGGATTTGATAATAAAACCTGGATGTTGATTGGTTTCTGTGCAGAGCTGCACCAAATTTTGCACTCTCCAGTTTTAGTAGATCTGCCTCCATGTTTTATAGGGTTCTCATCATACCTCCACCTTTTAACTGCCTCCTGCCTGCAATATAAGGAAATGACGGGCGCAAGGCGGTTCTCTCGTTCTGGGAGGACGACATATGACGTCCTCCCACTCTAACCGCACGTTCGTGCCCCCGGGGGTGTGCAGCACGGCGATTGGTGGTGCACGGTGTCCCTGGGACACAGCGGATCAACAGAAAGATACGAAGACGTCGGCTCTGTCATGTGAGCAGCTGTGTCCAATCACAGCTGATCACATATAAATGGGGAAATGCCGGTTATCGGCATTTCTCTCCTCACGAGCTGTCACGCTGACAGTTTGTGAGGAGAGGAGAGCCAGTAATCGGCATTCCTCAGAGGGGACATCTACACTGATCATCAGGGCACTGATGATCAGTGTGCCCTGATGATCAGTGTAGCCCCATCAGTGCCACCTGCCAGTGCCCATCAGTGCCACATCCATGCCACATATCAGTGCCTGCCAGTGCACATCCATGCCACATATCAGTGCCTACCAGATGAACATCAATGCCACATATCATTGCCTATCAGTGCTACATATAAGTGCCCACCTGAGCTGCCTTTCAGTGCCGCCTATCGGTGCTAGTCAGTGCCGCCTATTAGGGCCAGTCAGTGCTGCTTATCAGTGCCACCTATCACTGACATATGAGTGCTGCCTTTCAGTGTCCATCAGTGATGCCTGTCAATGCTTATCAGTGCCACCTACCAGTGCCGCCTATCAGTGCCCATCAGTGCAGCCTATCGGTGCCCATCACTGCAGCCTCATTAGCGCACATCAGTGAAGGAGAAAATACACTTATTTACAACATTTTATAACAGAATTGAAGAAAAATCTTTTTTTTTTTCAAAATTTTCAGTTATTGGTTTGTTTAGCAAAAAATAAAAACCCAGAGGTGATTTAAATACCAGCAAAATAAAGTTTTATCTGTCTCAAAAAAATGCTAAAAATTTCATATGGGTACAGTGTTGCATGACAGCGCAATTGTCATTCAAAGTGCGACAGCACCGATAGCTGAAAATTGGCCAGGGCAGGAAGGGGTATAAGTGCCCTGTAGGCAAGTGGAACATGTAACTTATGAAAAGTCCCTTCAACTATACAGTATTACATTGCTGAGCAGTTTTGAACCATGAAAAAAACGGCTTCTATGTTGCAGTAGGAGCTTCCCCTTTCCACTATGAAATACTATAGTATACAGTATTATAGGCTGTACATGTAGGAATAGCACTCTTCTTTTCAGGGTTTCAATTACTGAATGACATATTACTTACTTTTATCACAGCTATCATTTTAACCCAACATCCTGCTTCTATTTTGGACTGTGGTTGTTCAGTAAATAAGGCTCATTATGTTCTTCTGTCTTGCAGGCACATTCTCATCTGCCTGGCTGCCTACCTCGGCTGTGTCTGCTTTGCCTACTTCGATGCAGCATCTGAAATCCCAGAGCAGGGGCCTGTCCTAAAGTTCTGGCCCAGCGAGAAGTGGGCTTTCATCGGAATTCCCTATGTCAGCTTGCTTTGTGCCCACAAGAAGTCACCTGTGAAAATTACATGAATCCCAGTGCGGAAGCTTGAACTTGTTTTTTCACTTCTGAAACATACACACACTGGAATCTTTTAGATATATATTTTCTCTGCAGTGTGTTCAGTAAAGGACTAATGAGGCCAGACTGGCTTCTCTTAACTGTCTTTTTTGGTCCAAACCATAGCTGCTGCCATCTTGTGGAACAAAGAAGAACACATTCTTTTTTCTTCTTCACGCTCCGTTCCTTTAAGGCAAATGACAACTCCTATTTATTGGTAAACTTTATATGTGTTTATTTTCTACAACAAATAATCTATTTCTACAAATTACCTTTGAAGTGCAATCTTGCAGAACTCTGCATGTTGGAATTCTGATAAAAAAACAAAAAATAACAAGCTGCTGTGCTTGTGATCTGTTTGATTCTATTGAGGGCTATTTATATTTTTATATAGTGTTGCTTCCAACAAAATTAATCTATCTAATGATGAGGATATGTGATAAAAATGTAACCCAGGTTGGCTGTGAGCTTTACACATACAGTACACTTCAGGTGTTAAGAGCTTCTAAAGTGCACTTGTGATTTAAACTCTGCCTCCAATGTGTTTGCACAATAGCTCAGCAATACTAGGAGGGTGGGTTCAAATTAGAAGGGTGGGCTATACATTCACCTAGAGCAGTATTGTGCACTATGTTACCTAGGAGTGCAGTTTTTTTTAAATTTACAAATGTATTCTAAGGTTGAACTGTCTTCAGTGAGAAGACTGACCTTCTCAGAAGGCAAATTAATTTTATTGCTTATGGAACTGGACGCAAGCAACACAATAGGGTAGCCTGTGTGATAGGCGTTTTATATGAGTGGATACAGTTAAATGCAGTGTTTGCAAAATCACCACTCCTCATTTTCCAGGTAATTATTTTTCCTAAGGTCTGAATCTTTCAGTACACTGCTCCACTTGAATTGAAGGTCTTAATAATTAAGTATTCAGTGTTACTATGATGCCCAGGCAAGCGGTATCCTGACAATTACAATCATGTCTATTTATGCTTTCATTAATTGTGAATATAAAGATATATAAATAAAATAAATAAGTTATAATATGTTTGTTGTGCTTGTAAAATCAATGCAAGTGGAGCGTTTGATAGATTCTTGTATGTGAAATGCATCCAAATACAGTAGAGAGAAGTATATGTGGGATTCTGTTTGTTGTTAGCAATGGAAATTTCCTCAAAGCTGGTTTCCACATTCATGTATACTGGTATGCAAAGAAACACAGCGCCTCTAAGTGTGTGCTGTGAAGGTATTTAATAGAAAGATAAGTAGTAACCCACATCTTAGAATCTAAAAACAGGCTCATGGGTAAGAGGGTGAGACGTCTATAGCCAGATGTTGTGTGACTGATCCAGAGAGGAGATCGATTAGGTCCGCCAGCAGACCACATGCTGTGCATGTGCAACATGGATGGTAAGCTTGGGGGAATCTCCAAGGTGTCTGCCAGTAGGTGGTGCTGTGCATGTGCAACATGGATGGTAAGCCTAGGGTAATCTCCAAGGTGTCTGCCAGCAGGTGGTGCTGTGCATGTGCAACTTGGATGGTAAGCCTAGGGTAATCTCCAAGGTGTCTGCCAGCAGGTGGTGCTGTGCATGTGCAACTTGGATGGTAAGCCTGGGGTAATCTCCAGATGTCTGCCAGCAGGTGGTGCTGTGCATCTGCAACATGGATGGTAAGCCTGGGGAAATCTCCAAGGTGTCTGCCAGCAGGTGGTGCTGTGCATGTGCAACATGGATGGTGAAGCCTGGTGGAATCTCTAAGGTGTCTGCCAGCAGATGGTGCTGTGCATGTGCAACTTGGATGGTAAGCCTGGGGTAATCTCCAGATGTCTGCCAGCAGGTGGTGCTGTGCATCTGCAACATGGATGGTAAGCCTGGGGAAATCTCCAAGGTGTCTGCCAGCAGGTGGTGCTGTGCATGTGCAACATGGATGGTGAAGCCTGGTGGAATCTCTAAGGTGTCTGCCAGCAGATGGTGCTGTGCATGTGCAACTTGGATGGTAAGCCTGGGGTAATCTCCAGATGTCTGCCAGCAGGTGGTGCTGTGCATGTGCAACATGGATGGTAAGCCTGGGGGAATCTCCAAGGTGTCTGCCAGTAGGTGGTGCTGTGCATGTGCAACATGGATGGTAAGCCTAGGGCAGTGATGGCGAACCTTTTTGAGCCCGAGTGCCCAAACTGCAACCCAAAACCAACTTATTTCTTTCAAAGTGCCAACACTGCAATGAAACCTGAATATCGAGCTTTTGGTTTAGAAAAAACAACTCGTACAGTAGTGCAAACTAATTAACAGTACAGGGATGACCAGAGACTGCGGACAGCACAGGGATGACCAGAGACTGCGGACAGCACAGGGATGACCAGAGACTGCGGACACAGTACAGGGATGACCAGAGACTGCGGACACAGTACAGGGATGACCAGAGACTGCGGACAGTACAGGGGATGACCAGAGACTGCGGACAGTACAGGGGATGACCAGAGACTGCGGACAGTACAGGGGATGACCAGAGACTGCGGACAGTACAGGGGATGACCAGAGACTGCGGACAGTACAGGGGATGACCAGAGACTGCGGACAGTACAGGGGATGACCAGAGACTGCGGACAGTGCAGAGTTTTTTTTTTTATCTTACCTGTTCCTTTATCCAGCCGCGCGCTGTCTTCCCGGCTTCTGTAGTGTGGGCGCTCGTCGGACAGCCGGATGTCCAGTGCGCATGCGCGAGAAGCGCTGCGCTTTGTGATTGGTCCGGCGGCTTCTGGGATCTGTCATGTGTCCCAGGTACCGCCTTACCATTCACAAAGAGCACTGCTTCTTGTGCATGCGCACTTGGGACCCGGCTGTCACGCACACTACAGCCGGGAAGACAGCGCGCCGCTGGATTCTCCTGGCGTGCCCACAGATAAGGCTCGGCGTGCCGGCTGTGGCACGCGTGCCACGGGTTCGCCATCACTGGCCTAGGGTAATCTCCAAGGTGTCTGCCAGCAGGTGGTGCTGTGCATGTGCAACTTGGATGGTAAGCCTGGGGTAATCTCCAGATGTCTGCCAGCAGGTGGTGCTGTGCATCTGCAACATGGATGGTAAGCCTGGGGGAATCTCCAAGGTGTCTGCCAGGCCTGGCAGAGTCTCCAAGATGTCCCTTAAAGCATATTAAATACCTTCGCAGTACACACTTAGAGGTGCTGTGTTTCTTTGTTTCCCTTCTGCAGAGTTATGCTTCGCTCCTACGTAGCTTGCCCTTAGTGCCTACTGGACTACCCTTACCCCTGCCCACTTGGAACTCATCAATACATACATGGACTGCCACACCATGCGCCTGTTATCCCTTTTGTATGTACAGTCAGGTCCATAAATATTGGGACACCGACACAATTCTAACATTTTGGACTCTATACACCACCACAATGGATTCAAAATGAAAGGAGCAAGATGTGCTTTAACTGCAGACTGTCAGCTTTAATTTGAGGGTATTTACATCCAAATCAGGTGAACGGTGTAGGAATTACAACAGTTTGCATATGTGCCTCCCACTTGTTAAGGGACCAAAAGTAATGGGACAATTGGCTTCTCAGCTGTTCCATGGCCAGGTGTGTGTTATTCCCTCATTATCCCAATTACAATGAGCAGATGAAAGGTCCAGAGTTCATTTCAAGTGTGCTATTTTCATTTGGAATCTGTTGCTGTCAACTCTCAAGATGAGATCCAAAGAGCTGTCACTATCAGTGAAGCAAGCCATCATTAGGCTGAAAAAACAAAACAAACCCATCAGAAAGATAGCAAAAACATTAGGCATGGCCAAAACAACTGTTTGGAACTATCTTAAAAAGAAGGAACGCACCGGTGAGCTCAGCAACACCAAAAGACCCGGAAGACCACGGAAAACAACTGTGGTGGATGACCGAAGAATTCTTTCCCTGGTGAAGAAAACACCCTTCACAACAGTTGGCCAGATCAAGAACACTCTCCCAGGTGGTAGGTGTATGTGTGTCAAAGTCAACAATCAAGAGAAGACTTCACCAGAGTGAATACAGAGGGTTCACCACAAGATGTAAACCATTGGTGAGCCTCAAAAACAGGAAGGCCAGATTAGAGTTTGCCAAACGACATCTAAAAAAGCCTTCACAGTTCTGGAACAACATCCTATGGACAGATGAGACCAAGATCAACTTGTATCAGAGTGATGGGAAGAGAAGAGTATGGAGAAGGAAAGGAATTGCTCATGATCCTAAGCATACCACCTCATCAGTGAAGCATGGTGGTGGTAGTGTCATGGCGTGGGCATGTATGGCTGCCAATGGAATTGGTTCTCTTGTATTTATTGATGATGTGACGGCTGACAAAAGCAGCAGGATGAATTCTGAAGTGTTTTGGGCAATATTATCTGCTCATATTCAGCCAAATGCTTCAGAACTCATTGGACGCCGCTTCACAGTGCAGATGGACAATGACCCAAAGCATACTGCAAAAGCAACCAAAGAGTTTTTAAGGGAAAGAAGTGGAATGTTATGCAATGGCCAAGTCAATCACCTGACCTGAATCCGATTGAGCATGCATTTCACTTGCTGAAGACAAAACTGAAGGGAAAATGCCCCAAGAACAAGCAGGAACTGAAGACAGTTGCAGTAGAGGCCTGGCAGAGCATCACCAGGGATGAAACCCAGCGTCTAGTGATGTCTATGCGTTCCAGACTTCACTCTGTAATTGACTGCAAAGGATTTGCAACCAAGTATTAAAAAGTGAAAGTTTGATTTATGATTATTATTCTGTCCCATTACTTTTGGTCCCTTAACAAGTGGGAGGCACATATGCAAACTGTTGTAATTCCTACACCATTCACCTGATTTGGATGTAAATACCCTCAAATTAAAGCTGACAGTCTGCAGTTAAAGCACATCTTGTTCATTTCATTTCAAATCCATTGTGGTGGTGTATAGAGCCCAAAATGTTAGAATTGTGTCGATGTCCCAATATTTATGGACCTGACTGTATACTGGTATGGACCTGTAGGAATCTTCTCACTTAGACCAACAGCTGTATCCTGGAGGTAAAAATGTAATACTCCGGCTACTCAGCAGTCTCAGTTTGATGCAGGTCTGTCCTTGGAAAGCAAGAAAGGACAGTAAAGCCCACACTGTTGCAGAAACGTTATGGTGTTTGAAGTTTACAAGTGTGAAAAAACATGAGTTAAAAAAAAATGATAAAGAGACCTGCTAAACTCTGAACATTCAAATTGAGTGCCTATTTTACACATTGACTCACAGGTTTCAAAAGCAAAAATTCAAATCTAGACGGGGCAGGTCATATTGGTCTAATACTTGGCAATTCAACACTTTTAGCAGCTGTGTTTTTCCCCTACCGTCTTTCAGGCCAGCACTCTGAGAGACCTCGGCTCCTCCCCATCTGAGGAAACACCTCCACCTAAAATAAAAAAGCTCCACTCCCCTCTGACCTCAGTTCAGGTGTTTCCTCCGGTGGGGAGATACGAGGAGGCGCAAGGTGCGGCAGACGATAGGGGAGCCGAGGGCCGGATAGCCGGCTGAGAGGCCCGACGCAGCCGGGAGTGAAGGCCGGAGTGTCTGGCTGCATATCCTCCCTGGGCAGGCTGCGGGCAGTGGGCGCGCATCTCGGGGGACGGGACGAAGCACGTACCTGCTCTTTGCCTCCCGACCCTCTCCGGCGAGGGGGGGCGTCGGGGTGGCTGTGGTGAGATCTGGGGAGGATCGGGAGGAGTTCCGCTCCTTCCCATGCTGGCTGTCTGAGGACTTTGCCGGGCCGGACGTCGGGAGACGGCGGTTTCCAGCGGAAGGGGCGGGGCTTCGCCCAGGGCTGCGACTTCCGCTTCTGGTCGTGGCCCTCACACCACGGCGGCACAAATTTTTGAAAAAGGCGGTGCTGTGCACTGCGGCCTGGGGGACAGGCCAGCACCAGGCGACCACCCTCCGGTACGAGATGTCGGAGGCACCGGGACCAGGAGATGCCAGCACCAGCCAGTCACAGGTAAGGTGCCTCAGTGGAGGCCTCCCCTACCTGTTGGCCCCTAGCAGATGGGAAAGGTGGGGCAGGGGGTCTGCGGTAATGCAGGCCCTTAGGCTCTGCCGGGAAGGAGCAGGGGGGGGTGATTGGTGTTGGACTTATCAGGCTTCCCTCCTGCCCCTTTTTTTGTGTCTTTCAGGGCAAGGCCCGAGCTAAACTTAAACACCAGGAGCCCAAGCAAAGATGCCCTTCCTGTAAGGAAGTTTTGAAAGAATCTTGGCGAAAGGTTCTTTGTGGCCCATGTATACAGGGGTTAGTGAGGGAGGAGAAGCCGGAACAGGGGGACCTAGCCAGGTCAGTGAAGGAGTTGGCTACCACCTTTGACTCCTTCAAGTCCCTCATGGAGAGGTTTGCCCTCCCACTACCTACACTTCCCCCACCCCCCCCCACCCCCAGGTAGCTTCTGTGAGTCGTCGGGAACCCCTTGTGACTGGGGAGGAACCAGTGGGGGATTCCCAGTCTGAAGAGGAATCGGCGGGGGAGGGTCCCTCGGAGGAAGGCAGGGGCCCCTCCCGGGACAAATTGACCCTAGAGGAGGTAGATGAGCTCCTGGGGGCTATATACGAAACCCTGGACATTAAGGAGGAGGTTAAGGCCTTATCTCTCCACGACCAAATGTATCAAGGGTTGGAGGAGCACCAGCACAGAATATTTCCTGTGCATGACATTTTGGTGGACACTATTAGGAAGGAGTGGCAGGACCCGGAAAGGAAGCCGTTCTTCTCTAAGGCGTTGAGAAGGAGGTTTCCGTTTTCGGAAGACCCGGAGGCGGTCTGGAACAAGAGCCCTAAGCTAGACACGGCCTTTTCCCAAACGACCAGGAGAACAGATCTGGCGTTTGAAGACATGGGGGTCTTACCAGACTTATTAGACAGAAGGGCGGAGTCTCTCCTTAGGAAGGCCTGGGACTCAACCCTGTACAACCTGAAGCCGGCCATGGCTATGACGGTGGTAGCCAGAAACTTAGAGTACTGGCTTACATAATTGCAGGCCCATATTGTGGCAGACTCTCCCAAGGAGAAAATCTTGGCCTCTTTTGAGACCCTTTTGCAAGGGGTTGGGTATATTGCGGACGCTTCCGCGGAGTCGGTGAGGTTGGGAGCCAGGTCTGCTGCCCTGACCAATTCAGCTAGAAGGGCGCTGTGGTTAAAAACGTGGCAGGGGGACATCACTTCTAAAATTAGGTTGTGCGGCATCCCCCTCACAGGAGACTGTCTGTTCGGCCCTGGGTTGGAGGAATTATTGGACCGGACGGCTGACAGGAAGAAGTCCTTCCCCCTCAAGAGGAGAGTGCAGGAGGGGGGGGGGACACGGAAGGCCCGCCCGGCAAAGAGGCTGAGCCTGCGACCAGCAGGTCAGGGTAGGTCTGCTGGGCAGAGAGGTAGGGGAAGGGGGGGGGGGCGATTTTTTCGCCCTCCTGAGCAACCCCAGAAACCGAGGTGACTTGGTTCCTCCTGTGGGAGGGAGATTGGTGGCCTTCCTCCCACAGTGGGAAGCTGTGGTCGCCAACCCCTTCATTTTGGATATCATCTGAAGGGGTTACCGGTTGGAGTTTATAGGGCCGCCACCCGAGACATTCCTTGTGACGACCCGTCCAAAGGATCCGGCGAAGGCCGCTGCTCTGGTGGACGCCTTGGTGGTTCTAGAGTCCCAGGGGGTCATCTCCAGGGTTCCGGAAGAGGAACGAGGGAAGGGGGTTTATTCCCATGTGTTCTTGGTTCAAAAGCCGTCTGGGGCGTTCAGGCTGATTTTGAACTTAAAACCCCTGAACAAATCAGTGCGTTACCGGAGGTTCCGCATGGACTCCATCTTTACAATCAGGTCCCTAATCCCGCCGGGTGCGTTCATGGCATCCATAGACTTGAAGGACGCCTACCTACACGTGCCCGTGGCGGAGGCCTCTCAGAGGTTCCTCAGGTTGGCAGTAGGGGGGGAGGAAGGAATTCGACATTGGCAGTTCAGGGCTCTTCCATTTGGCCTTTCCTCCTCGCCAAGAGTATTCACCAAGGTTCTGTCGGAGGCACTGATTTCTATTCGCTTAAGGGGGATTTCAGTGGTGGCCTATCTGGACGATTTGCTGCTCTTCGCAGATTCAGAGGCTCACTTGCGGCAGGATCTGGTTATAGTGAGGGGCCATCTAGAAAGCTTGGGGTGGATTTTGAATCTAGAGAAGTCCTGTCTGGTGCCTTCTCAGAAAGTGGTTTACTTGGGCTACGCTCTAGATTCAGTAAATCAAAAGACCAGCCTGACTTCGGAGAAAATCACCAAGTTGGAGGCAGGGATCAGATTACTGCAGGGGAGCAG